CCCCCCCCTTCTCCGAGCGCGATAAACAATAATGCGCAGAAGAGAGATTAGCTTAGCAGCAGTATCAACGGCAACGGCTCATCAGACTCATCAGAGCAGTTGCATCATCATCACAATATAATATTACATTGCCGGTACTCCTGGGAAAACGTCCCGGGAAAACATAGGCTTGATCTTGATTTCTCTAGATCTAATATATCTAGATTCTAGAGACCTGTGGACTAAGACAAAGAGTGACCTCAAGTAAGTCAAAATAATTGACTGACGAAAAAGAATAGAAATTGGACAGCTTGTTGACATTGATTGAGATCTCTACCTTGCAACTTTCTGTGGCCTTTTGGGGTCATTTGGATTTGCTTGCTGCATGGCTATAAAGTAAAATATTATCAACAAATTAATTTAAATTATCAAGATTGAAACAAGAATTCACACTATTAAAATTTAAGCATCATGATCAACGACGCCCTGTTGAGTTTACGAACTTTTATTCGCTTGTCACTTTCAGCGTCACTTATAGAGTCACCTCCCCTGAACGTGACGTAGCTGCTTCAGTGTACATTTTTGTTCTCCTGGATTAGAAAGTGCGCAAGGTACGGGATGTTACTCTGTTCAGCCTATGTCATTTTAGTTTGTTTAGACTCCAGACCATAAGTTGCTATCTAAAATCGAAAGTAGGAATTTCGAAAGAAAGTTCATTGTGAAGAACTTGAATCCAGGACCGTCTTGGCTTTTTTCTGAAAGATGGTTCCCAAAAAGAAAAAAGAAGGTATATTATTGTAGGCCTATTTATAATGTTTATGTGGGCTTTTCATACTCTTTGTTGCGGAAAGAAACTTTTAGAAACAAAACATTTTCTTAACTTAGATTAATTCTTAATTTAATCTTTGAAATCTTTGGCTCGGGTTTTTCTTTTGTTTGAGTCTGGTAACCCCTGACCAGAGGTTTGCCCCTGATTCAACACTGCAGGGGGGTCGGTTGAAAGTGACGGTCGGCAACAGTTGGCAACGGTCGGCAACAGTCTGCAATTAAAAGTGAATGTCAACTGGCTGTATGTGTGACCAAAAGACAGCGGTTGTTAAGACTAAGATTCCCGCGTTTTTCAGGATTAGGGTTAGGGTATTGTTCGGGTTCGAGTCAGGGTTAGGGTATTGTTCGGGTTCGAGTCAGGTTTAGGGTTAGAGACGAAAGCGAAACATACCTGAGGCTATGAAAAAATCAAAAACGCACATCACTAGAATGAAATGTTGTCATCTGAACTATCGCCCAAAAGACTTTTTCAATATGACATTTCCCACTAAGTTTTTATTCTCTCTCTCTCTCTCTCTCTCTCTCTCTCTCTCTCTCTCTCTCTCTCTCTCCTTATAATTAGCCCTTTAGCCCCTCAAGACCCTCTTTGTTAGGCTCATTTCCCTGCTAGTATACAGAGCCCTTTTAGTTTTAATTTTAAACATTTTATTATGCTGTGTTATTTTGTCTGAAAATCAAACAAGTTTAACAAGACTCGCCCTCCTACTCTGCTTTCCTAATAATGATGATGATTTTAACGCTGCTTACTATCATCTTATGTGGTATTGAATTTTCTTTTTCACTTTGAATCGTTTGGTTGTATTTATTACTCTTTATTTTTTGTCAAAGAAAAAGGCACTTTGTAGTGTCATAAAAAATAAAAACTTAGTGGGAAATGCCAGAAAGTCTTTTGGTCGCACATACAGCCAGTTGACATACAATATTTAATGCAGACTGTTGCCGACTGCCACCAACTGTTGCCAGCCGTTGCGACCGTCACCGACCGCCACTTTCAACCGACCACCACTTTCAACCAACCGTCACTTTCAACCGACCGCTGCAGGGCAATTGTACTGTAGTTTATAGCGGCCTACTGTCCTCCTGAGTCCTGAGGAACCCTATCACTGGATTCATCGTCGTCAGGTAGTCAGAGGTATAAGTAGGATTAGGGCTAAAGGCCTGATTGACAGAAAATTACATTTAATGTCAACAGGCTGTGCTTCCCAACAAAGTAGATCTGCAAATTGCTTAATTCCCAACCGTGTTGGAAATGGTAGAATTTGCCTATTCCCCACTGGTGGTGGGAACTATCAAATCTAACAGCAAGGAAGTGTCTCCCGAGACTGGGATTCTTGTCCACGGAGACACTCAGTCTTGGGGGACCATGAAAATATTTTTCTTTGCGCACTTGACATGATTTTGACGACAGTACAGCCGTGGTGAATTAATTTCCTTTTTACCACGTTTATTTTGTCCCAATAGATACTTTCTCTTACCTCTAAACAGATGGAAAAAGTAGCTTGCGCTGTTTCTTCTAACTGTTCACGTGCATGTAACTAAGAGACCTGTAAACTTCAGAGAATTCAGACTTTCACAATGAATCAATTATTGTAAATTAGGACATAGGGGTAATACATAAAAACAAGGGTATCTATAGAACAGCACGCCAAATTTTTCACAAGCGATTCAGAAAACATCGGTTGGGAATAGGCAAATTCTACTATTCCCATCACATCGAAATTAAGTTTTTATTAATAAATTGGGCGATCTTTTAATAGCATTTCGTACAAAAATCATAGATATATATATGTGAGGCATCGGGGTGAAATCAGATGCTCGTCAAAATAATGAAATCGAAGAAACTGGCATTTTTCTATCCATTCGGTAATTTTTATCGAATTTTTTTTGGGAGGGGACTCAATACCTTTACTGTTCATTTTATAAAACATTTTTGTGTGAATTTTACTAAAAAATGTTGATTTAAAGCAAAAAAATATAAATTTGCAGTTTCTAAGGACTCTCAAGCTTTGGACATTCATTTTCTCGCTAATTTTACCTCTGAAACCAGGCAACCCCCACCTCCTTCAACCACAAATATCTTGACTTCTATTCATTATGAGGATTTTTTCATCCAAAGCAAGACAAATGAACAAGCTTTAAAATGATACTAATAACTCCACATGTCCAAAAATTGACGACCGCCTGATTCCACCATGTTGTGACACATATTTGGAAACACAAATATATATGTAGACCTGTGACTACATGACCTGTAATAAATTTATTCTTCAGAAGTTATGCGGAAATTCAAGCGTAAAGTGATCAACAAACTGTACGGTCGTTCAAGCTCAGAAGCAAGTGGGAGTGAGGAGGATGTGGACATTTCTTCTGCAGTCTCTGGTAGCGAGTCGTCGCCTCTATCAGGTCTGAGAGAAGAAAGCCGTGCTCAACAAGTTAGGATATATGGCCCTCAGTGCTGCCCAAAAGACTTTAATCAAAGAGGTGACACTGGATCCCAAACAGGGGTGTTGTCCTCTGGTGTTGAAGAATCCTCAGCTGGTCTTGGCGATGATGAAGCTTCCGGTATGTAGTTTCAGATTTCAAAGACTTTTAACCTTATCCGTACGCCCTGGGGTCATTTTGTATCCTTGGGGTTGTATTCTTCACATTTTAGAATACATTTACTTCTAGTGCGAAGATCTCTTTGAAACTTTCTGTATTTCTCAAAAAATAATTTTGACAAACTGCTATGCAAAGCGTACGGATTGAATTAACGATTAAATTTCCTCTTTGGAAAGTGGTGGCACAGAGTTCCCCACGTCGTATGGATACCATAGTAAAACATGACGTACGGATAGGGTTAAATGTGCAGTTAAAAATTACTGAGTCTCAAACAATTGCCGCTGGGGTTAGCCAAAAAAGGTTCATTGCATGGTCTGTTTATGTTTTATGTATGAATTAAAGTAAAAGATCATCAGAACAATGAGTTTGAACCAAAGGGAAGTCATAAGAGTAGGATATGTGATTGTACAAATTGTTTTTATTTTAGAGGCCAAATCTGACGTGTGAGTAATGCTCGAGCAGTATACTTTTGTTCAACTTGTTGGTTGGGAAAGACTGGGTCGGGTCGTAAAGACCAGCTAACTAACACTCTTACTCATATCGAACTGAGCCTCTGTTTGAGCTTCATCAAGATTGACTTGACGCAATCCACATTATTGATTATGCACCGGCCACTAGAAGAGTTGAGAGAGACTGTTCAAGTCTATAGTCTATGCTTGTGCTTAAGTTTGTGCTCTGCACCTGGAAAAATTTGACCTCAATGACATGTCCCACTATTTTCATATGTTGCCACAAGTCTGATTTGATGGTGGCCCAGATAAACGTATATATATATATATATATATATATATATATATATATATATATATATATATATAATATATATATATATATATATATATATATCGATGGCTGAGCGCAAGAAGTGATTCCACTTTTCACAGTGTCAAGAAAAACGAGTTTGAAATTTTAACGATATTGAAATCTCTATAACAATTTTTTTTAAAGAAACGTTAATATCTCGATACAGCCAGGGCTTGGATATTTACAGAGGTAAAAGAACGGCTTAAACCCATTCAATGACGCCATTTCAACCAAAAGTGGATATGGTCACTTTTTGCGGTCAGACATCGATATGTGGTTGATTTTTAGATGGTCTGATTTGGTTGTGTCAAAATTGCAGCAATATGATAATATATGAAAATGTTCCCACCATTCATCAGATCATGCTGAATAGAATGGGGCTGAGGAAAATACAAGTGTATACTGGTTATTTTGATATGAAGTGGTGGAATGAAATCTTTCACCTCTCTGACTAGAGTTTCTTCAAAAGACAAAGACTACATAAAGTGATCCCATAGCTACATGTAAAGAGTACTCACTTAAACGCAAGCTTTATTTTAATTATTGTCAATTGAATAACCAGGGTTGGGTTGATAAATAAAAATCAATGATTTAAATCACTTTTTTAAAAATGTATTTTTATTCAGTTTTTACACATTTCTACATTCAGAATTCCTTTCCTTGGTTTCATAAAACACATATAAGGTTTAGTAGACTAATATAATCATGCTTAAAAGTCTGCTTTCCCCCCTTTCACTGTAAAATAATACAGTATTCAATTTACTTTTTTTTCCATAATTGAAATCAGAGCTGGGTTGATTTTTAATCAGTTGATTTTTTTTATTTTAATCAACTTGATTTTTAAAATAAAAATCAGTAATTTAAATCACTTTTTAAAAATGTATTCAGTTTTTACATATTTAAACATTCAGAATTCCTTTCCTTGGTTTTATTAAACGATATAAGGTTTAGTAGACTAATATAATCATGCTTAAAAGTCTGCTTTCCCCCCTGCTGTCACTGTAAAATAATGCAGTATTCAATTGACTTTTTTTTCATAATTAAAATCAGGGTTGGGTTGATTTAAATCAGTTGATTTTTTTTATTTAAATCAACTTGATTTTAAAAATAGAACTCAGTGATTTAAATCACTTTTAAAAAATGTATTCTGTTTTTACATCTTTAAACATTCAGAATTCCTTTCCTTGGTTTTATAAAACAGATATAAGGTTTAGTAGACTAAAATATTCATGCTTAAAAGTCTGCTTTCCCCCTGTCACTGTAAGTAGTAAAATAATACTGTATTCAATTTACTTTTTTTTCATAATTGGAATTAGCATTTTCTTTTTCTTTTTAGACAAACACAAGCGCGCGCACACACACACACTGTAATAAAATGCAAGTTTATCTATGCATAATTATCCCCCCCCCCCCTTCCTTTTAGACTGACATTTTCTTCATTTTTTGTTTGCAGCCATTATAACTCACTGATATAGCAGATTAAGGCTTTCTAAAATTGCAGTTGCTTAAATTAATCATTAGTTAAAATAAAGACAATGCATTTTGCACTAAAAGAACTTACTTTTAGCCTCCAAAAATCCCAAACTGTGTCGACATTTTTTTTAAAAATCAAAAAAATCTGATTTAAATTTAAAAAATCTGATTTAAATTTAAAAAATTGATTTTTTAAATTTTTATTGAAAAAAAAAAAATCACCAACCCTGTGAATAACAATATCTACTGACCAAGCAGCTGGAAATCTTGTTTGAAGGTGCTTTGTGGGTACATTCTTGTTTGTAGTATATACACATGCTAAAATGACATATTTTGACGGGATTTCACTCTGTGGATTTTAAGATTTTTGTGTTTTTTTACCATTTTCACATCATGTGGCTTTGAAGTTGCGCATTCCTAAAGAATGCAAGTATTTTCCGTGTGCTGTTTCCTGTGTGCTATTTCCTGGATACGATTTTGGGTATTGTCAAACAAACGAATATTGTGCATGTGTTATAAAAGTCATAGACGTTTGTATGTGGTGTCATTGTAAAATCCAAACCTTTGTCAACGCAAATACAACTTTTAGGAACACATTTGCTTCTCTCAGACGAAAGTAACCAACATGACAAAAGAGCGTACATATGAGACAGAAAAAAGGAGAACGTTTTCAAAGCAAACTTTTCACACCGATGTAGTACAATCAGCAAACAATTCACTTGTTTCTTCAGTGAACTTTATGCTTTTTGCAACAACTGCATTCTATAATAATAATATGGCTCTACTAAAAGAGTCAGAAAATGTGCTTTCATTAGCAACTTTATGTTCAGGGTTTATATTTGCACAGGAATGTATAGCGTTGGGTACAACAACTTTCTGTCCAGTTTCGTATTGCGTACCTCAATACAGTCGAGGGCAGTATCCAGCTTTGCCGTTTAGGCTCCCGTGCAATAATATCAAGTTTCTTTTCGTATTGCCTGCCAGTCCATTACTGACTCCCTAGCCGTGTCCGCCTTCCCCTGTGCACACTTTGCACTGCCTACTGATTGTGCGTCTGGTGGACTGTCTTTGGATTGCTGACACTCTTTGAGAATATATACCTCTCTGATAGGATAGGTGGGAATGTAGCAAATGCAGTGTCAAATTCACTGAGCTCCTGCGGCTGGTGATAATGTCTTCAGCTCCCTGCTGTCCCCGCGGTTTTATGCACCCCGCATAATTCAGCGAAAAGTTGATCATTTTTTTGCATAATTTCTTATAATTTCCCTCTATCGTTCTTTATCAAAATTAACAGAATCGCATAATTTTGCATTGTTTGGGCTCATTTTTCATAATTTCATTATAAAATTTTTGGCATAAAACCGCGGGTACAGATTTAATTGAGACCATGCCTTTGTGATTGATAGGCTCCCGTAGTCGTGAGATTTTGAGTTCGGGGATTCGAGCCTCGACTCGGTCCTATGTTGTGTCCTTGGGAAAGACACTTAAGTTGTGCACTTAAGTTTGGCTCGGTCCTTTCGGAGACGTGAAACTCGGAGGTCCGGCCTCTTGAATAACCTAAGGGTGTTGATAAGACTATACTATAATAATACTATTTCACCATTTTTCTTATTGATAGGCGGGAATGTAAGAAAGTGTCAGATTCACTGAGCTCCTACACCTCATACTCCAGCTTGACGGCCAATTTCTTGACAACCTAGGCCCTTTATTCGTGCTGCTCTCAGTTTCCAGGGTGCTGTCTCTCAACAAGGTCTGAACATGTTAGTCAGCGTGAGCACGAGTCGTTCCAACGAGTAATTTTTCGAAAGTGCGTGGCTTTGATAGTTTTCCATTCCAACTCTTCACCAGCTTTCTCCTCAAGGAGAAAGGATGATTTTTTGTTGTTGTTTTGTTTTTCTTTTTAATCTGAATGATATCTATCTGCTGTATGTGTTTATATATACATTGATGGCGACAAGTTTCATCTCTCTCTCTCTCTCTCTCTCTCTCTCTCTCTCTCTCTCTCT